AAGCTGTGAAGAGTCAATGAATCAAGTAGAAGCTGTGAAGAGTCAAACGAATCAAGTGGAAGCTGTGAAGAGTCAAACGAATCAAGTGAAAGCTGTGAAGAGTCAAATGAATTAAATAGAAACCATGAAGAGTCAAATGAATTAGATAGAGACTATGAAGAGTTGAATGAATTGGATAGAGACTATGAAGAGTCAAATGAATTGGATAGAGACTATGAAGAGTCAAATGAATTTGTTGGAATTTGTGATGATAGTGAAAGGTCTGGTCAATTTTATTGTGAAAACGATCTTATTCTAGATTTTAGTGATGAAAATTTTGATGAGTATTATAATAATTCTGAAGTAGAAAACTATTCTAATTCCTGGCTTTAAAAAACTTCATCGATTATTTGAGTTCCTTTTATAAGAATTTTTGGAGATTAATTTCATATAACTTTTTTTAGAAAATACAATGACATCATAATAAATACAGTTAAACGTGCTTTAAATTGAAAAAAGCTTTATAGATTTAACTTTAAATTATTTAATTTTTTTACTATTTGAATATCAATATCAGTAAAACATCATAATTTTAAATAGGTAAATTCTTTATATAGTATGTCAAGTGCACTCATAAAATTTAGTTTCGACTATAATGCTTTATAAATTACGTTAGACAATCGAAGAAATGTGCACTTATAGTAGTTCAACTATAAAATCAAAGTGTACGTATAGTAAATATATAAATTGAAACTAGCTAACCAGAGTCTTGAAAGCTTCAACCAATTAACATACATTTAGATATATACCCGGGTCTTTTACAATCTTGTTTGCGATACATACTTAATTAGTCCCAGGTACAAATCACAGGGGGTATACTAAAAAGGTGGTACTATTTGCTGAAAAATATGGTAGCGACTTCTTAAAGACAAATAAAATTGTATTATTACCATGCTAACTTCTCTAAAACAAAAAAGATTTTGGATTATTTTTAATAATAGAGTCCTACAACCTTAATAAAACTT